TCGTGTCGTGCCGCCTTCTCAAAGTGATGCATTGATGCCGACTGTATATACTTACTTGAGTCAAGCTTCAGGTCGTCATGGAGATCCAGATTCCTTAAGAATCACGGTGCTAAAACGGCTATCCTGCAATTACGGGATTGAATGACTTGAAGGGGTTTCAAAATAGTGCGGACCGCGTTAGCGAACACTACACTTGCATAGTTCATGACCGGGCGTATGCAACTTACTGGTGGTAGGACCTCTTGTAAGTCCGCACGGGTAGGTACCACCAACCCGCCTATTTCTGTCGTGAAGCAGTAATGCGTTTCAGTTTGAAGGGTAGGGCAGCCGTTGAAACCATACTAAGACCTTAGAACTTATATCTCAAAGTGGGTGGCCCATTTACGTTGTAGATGTCTATGGTCTCCAGTAACCACTTAACACCAGGTGGACTGTGAGCTTGTCCACCCATCTAAGCAATAAATAAAAAAGAAAAGTTTGTAGAGTGTCACCTTATTACGAAGGGTATGCCACCGCTGGGCTATCATCGGTATTGAAAGATATATGTTGCAAGTAAACTTCTTTCTACCTATTTCACCGCCATTTTGTAACAATTGACGTTTATGTGCAAAAAGGAAAAACTAATATTATTCCATTAGTTCCGTACATAGCATCTAATATGGCGGTTACGATACTGCAAGCTTCCTCAACTAGAACCAGTAAATATACGAACGAGAAATATTTATAGAATTCAATACGTGTACCGGAAACGGCCATTGTTCGATCTGTAAGGTCGAAACGAGAATATGGCGCAGGTCGCCGGGAGTACCCTTATTGATGTCTTTATTGGATGACGATCCGAGATTGTACTATTGTTCGCAGTTTGAGTACCGCCGCTATATAACGTTGTACTCTATTATTGTGGTAGACAAAGATAAGTGAGGTACCTACGAGTTTGTTTACAATTCGAATCAAGCCCTGATTGTTTTACTGTTATTTTTATTATTATTAAACTCATAAATTATATTTAGACTTTACATTATCTTATACCTAGATTACATTTTACAGATTACGTTACATAAAATTAAGCATTATCTATAACTATATCTTTATATATAAAAATGAATTGCTGTTCGTTAGTCTCGCTAAAACTCGAGAACGGCTGGACCGATTTAGCTAATTTTGGTCTTGAATTATTTGTGGAAGTCCAGAGAAGGTTTAAAAGGTAGAAAAATATGAAAATGCTCCGAATTAAATAAAAATAACAATTTTGTCCTGTCGGACAAATTCCTTTTGTTTGTTTTAAGTTTATTTTGTACAAAAGCTTAGGTCTTTTATTTATCGATTGAGACACTACGAAGTCTGCCGGGTCAGCTAGTATTATTATAAAATGTCTCGCAACATTGTCTCGATGGCTTACATTGCGTCTCTGGATAATCTTCAACAACTTACAAATGTGATGAACCAAATATAATAAATAATCTTAAGATAGTCTTTTTAACATTTTTTAAAAACCGATTTTAGAATATCATGTCTGTTAAATATGCTTTTACATAGAGGGGCGATCTCCAGGGATAAGTCCTCCGGCTTGAAGGATTTAAAGCAGCTGTTGTATGTACTATACATTTTTCCCCGACCTTATCTTTGGTAGCCGAAGAAGCTACTCCAGCTTCACGCGGATGGTTAGGCGAGCTCACGGGCTCAGCCTGAGAGAATTTGCTAACACTAACCCTAGCAAGAGCAGTGCTTCGCAGAATCTACCACCGGCTCGAAATCGCAACCTACTGAGAAGATCCGGCTAGAAACTCAGTGGGCACTATTATTAAGTGTTTCAAGGCACGGCGTGACCGCATGGTAAACCTTTACCTATCTAATTAAGAAAAAAAATCATTTATCATAAATCATCTTCTCTCTGTCGTCCCAGCACCAGTCATCAGAACAGAGTGCCCCCGTGTTCTGTAGAACCACTTCTCTCCTCTATACTGAGTTTTCACAGATGAAATTTGTTACACGCCACCCGATTCTGAAACAAACTCGCCTCTTTGAAGTTTCTCGACTGTTATAATATGACCTATTAATCTACATACATTTTCAAACAAGATTTATAGTGGCAACGGCATGACTGGGCTCCTATTAATGTCGATGTTCACCAACAACAGTAGCTATTTACAATCAGCTTCACATCTGTAGGGCTGGACCATATTTTTCTTTTTATTTATTGCTTAGATAGGTAGACGAGCTCACAGCCCACCTGGTGTTAAGTGGTTACTGGAGCCCATAGACATCTACAACGTAAATGCGCCACCCACCTTGAGTTATAAGTTCTAAGGTCTCAAGTATAGTTACGACGGCGGCCCCACCCGAAACGCATTATTGCTTCACGGCAGAAATAGGCAGCGGAATACCCGCTCGGACTCACAAGAGGTCCTACCACGAGTAATGAATTTCTCGAAAAATTTATGAGTTCACTAATTCACGATTCATCAGTGTTTAATCAATATCATGTCGACTCGCAGCTGTCCTTTACTCGCCCTTATTAAGTTGAGTGACCGATCTGTCACATCTACTCAAAGAAATTGCCATGATCCGAACATCAGAGATAAAGTAAATTGAGTTATTGATGGATTAGAGTGGAACTCATTTTATTGCTCATAAAGTATTTATTTCGAAATAGGAATTTCTTTGTTTTGTTTCGTTTTTTATGATTAATATTTGCTACGTGGTCAGTCGAGGTCAGGTCTCACCTGTATGGTTGTTTGAAAATAATGACGAAGGGCAGATCCTCCACCGAGCGGGTGATATTGCTCGGTAGACCGACGGTCCGAATGTTGTTGTTCGGAACTTGTATATATGCAAGCTTATCTTGAAAATGTCGTAAGCGAGATTCAGGCATCTGTCAAATATGTTATACTCTATGGTGGATACAGCAAAAGTTGGTTATTAAAGCCGTAACTGACCTTGAGAAATGCGGTCAAAGCTTCAATTGCATGACGCGTCCCCTATGTAGCTCACAATAGCCCCAACAACTGGTAAATGCTAGTAATTATATTAATCGAAAATTCAATTTAAATATTTAAAAAATGTTCTCTTTAATTGTATAAAAAATAAACCGAAATGATATCAAATACACACAATGTAATAATATCCGGCGCATTTCTTACCATTTCCCTTATTAACTCACTTTCCTTACTATCTTATTATCCGTGCGTCATAATAAATACTAATCTGATCTTACTTTTAGTTAATCGTATTTTGTAATCATTCTGTGGCACTAATAAGAGCCATTTCTATTTTTTTTAAAACGTGTGATTTGAAGGGTAGGATGATTCAAATGCAATCGAGACCTTTTTTCATGCATAAAATGTACATGAGCTCTAGCAAATACGTCTACCATCCACGCTATAAGGTCAATAATCTCAATAATCACCTTCATAATTGTTTATTGCACATCAGAAAAACGACAGAGCACACAATTTCTCTTACTATCAAAACACTTGTATTCTATCAAACCATTAAAAATCTGGAAAGTGCCTGTGAAATGTGTATTGAATTTAAATTTAACCATCATTAATAATAACGGAGAATCGATCCAGAATCTGTACGTGTTTCTTTATGAAGTTGTGTAAAGGATGTACTTAAAGCTACATATTTTCACGAGACATGGTGGTTCGTGACTACAGAAACTGTAAAGTATTTAAAATGTCGGAAACAATAAAAATACAATTAAAAAACCCTAGATAAGCTGTAAAAGGTGTTTTAAATTATGTCTACTACACGCGAATACAGTAGAAGGTACTCTACATCTAAACATCTTTTAATGTTTATGAAAATCTTGTTATTATCTATGAGCGCGCAATAACATTAACTGTCACTGCACCATTAAATACAAAAAAAAAACAATCTGAGGCTCCAACCACTGAAGTATGAAACCTAAGGTCTATGGCCCCAACACGGAATAACCTTCTGTCTGACTGTCACCAGAACCACACGCGAGATAATAGTATTCTTGTTGATGATATAAGTATTATATTTAACCTCTCTTAAAGACATAAAGACTAAATATCAAATAAGTATATTTAATGAAGACACTGACTGCAGCTCGAACAATGAGGCGATCGATTAAAAAATCAATGAAATATATATCACGTAGATATTACAGAATGCCAATTAAAAAAACTCCAACCGAAATCACGGTCAACAACTAGTTTAAGTTTGACGAACAAAAACATCGCGTGAGGCGTGAATTCTCAGTTCCCAGTCATCTGTGACGGCAAACATTCTGATGTGAAACAGCCCTCTTGACCTTAGAACGAACAGGTGTGGAGTATCAGCGAGGATTACCCTCTTAACTGTCAGTACTCTGAACAGTCCTCTTTTAATATTCATGCATCAGTATAGAGAATGTCATCAACCCGTTTTGTTATTTGAAATTCATCTTCTACTCTATGAGTTTTGTCATAATTAACTCAGCAAAACTCCTATCCGCTGCACTGTAGTGTAATGTTATGAATTAATTCACAACTTGCCTTTCTTTCCTCTGTCGAAGCAGTTTTATACGTAGTAATGTGGTCAGATTTAGCGCCCTATTTACCGCGACTTACAGATTACACAAAGCAATTTACCGACAAAAGGTACGCAATTGTAATGGTTAAATTAAATCAGGCAACAGTTTGTTTTTAGATAATGAAATTACCCTGTCCCTCGCATTACTAATGTCTGAAGGAAGATAAGTAAATTATCAATCATCGGCGGACCCATCTGGGCTTATGTAACTTCGGTAACAGTAAAATATTAGATGGGACTAAATAATTTTAACCAATAAGTAATCAAGTATATCTTTTGAATGTTGTTGATGAATATTTCCTGATTTCCGGTTGCGTTTACATACATACATACACGTATACATAGTTATATGCAAAATAAAAAAGAATAAAAAGATGTGTGGTATCGTGGGACACCGGATAGGAACGAAGTTCCATATTATAAAAATATTAATTTTAAGTTCTATTCGAGGTATAAAGAAAATAATTATTCGGGGTATACATTTTTTATCATGATTTTTTAATTGATAAATATAAAAGTAATCGGAAGGGTCAACCACTCCGCAGTGCAATGGAGCAGCCTCGCCCTGGGGGAACCGCCTGCAAGATCATGGTATCCCTCTACGCCAGGTAAGTATGATTTAGCAAGAGAAATACGAGAACTATCAACTGTGTAACATCTCGTCACCGCGATTCAGGAATTGTTGAATTTACGTGCAGTGACATCTGTTGATAACAAACTAAATATAAAAAATCTTACGTTACGGACGTTTTCCCGGTTAGGGTACCCCTCGGCATCGTCCCATAAGGAACTTCGTTCCAAAAATCATCTATTGGACATTGGTATGATACGTTAAGTTTTAGAACCACATCCAAAGCTGGGTGTACAATGCGTACGTACCGCGCCGGCATGCAAGATATAGCTCAATGGCACGAATTACATAATTTTCAGATATCGTAAGTCGTTCGTGACTTGGTCGCCTGACATCTTTGAAGTACACATGTATTCAGTAATTGAAATGGACATGTTTTTGTCCTCACAAGAACTTGTTAACATTTATAGATATCTCGAGCGGTCTCGGCGCCAGACAATCAGAATGAGAACAGTACAATAATTGTGTTATGCGAAATTGGTACATGACTGCAATCATTGTTATTCGTCTCCCATTTTCTTTTCAAATACTACTCTTAGGTGGTATCTTGATGGATAAATTAGATCTTGAATTATATAGCTTTTACCAAGAATATGCAGATTTAAAGATCGTTTTGCTTCATTTGATCATCAAACGATCACATATGGTTTATAACTTTGATTAATAGTATACTTTATAACACTGACATGAGCAGTGTGACGCTGGGTATATTTGCTAAAATAAGTACGACAATCTATTCGCTGGGTAGCTGGTAGTTTATGTACCAGAGCATGACAATAGCAATTCTTTATCTCGGGAAAATACCACATGTTTCATTTAAGCTGTATGTTACAAATGTGCAGCTGTATGTTAAAAAAGAAACCTTATATAGGAAAACCGGATACAAGTAAGTCAACCTTTGCTTTAGACGGCCTTTTGCTCTGACACTAGGAGCAGGCTTGGGAACCCCGGTAACCGTACTCGTCGAACACGGCAAAGAGTAACTTAAACACCAGCCGGTTTCTCGCCAGATCTTCTCAGCGGGTCGCGATTCCAATCCGGTAGTAGATTCATTCGCGAAATAGCTACTCTTTAGCTGTTAGGTCTCCTTTGGAGGCACTTGGGTAGCTTTTAGCAAATCCCACCCCTCCTGGCTGAGAACTTGCTCACCCGCTTATTCTAATGGAACTGAAAAGGCCTCTGGGCCACCAGTAATACTTCAATCATAAGAAAAAATAAAATAAGTGCGGATAGTGCAAAGCCCACCGAGACGTATTTGTTATTTATTTATTTATTGATTAGATGGGTGGAAGAGCTCACGATCCACGTGGTCTCAAGTGGTTACCAGAGCCCATAGACACCTACAACGTAAATGCTACCACCCACCTCGAGACATCAGTTCTAAGGTCTCAATTTTTACAGTACAACGGCTGCCCCACCCTTCAAACCGAAAAGAATTACTGCTTCAAGGCAGAAATAGGCAGGGCGGTGGTACCTACTCGTGCGGACTTACAAAACGTATAAGTGGAAATAAAATATTGGTATTCTGATGTTATCGAGTCTGGAAAAAATATTTCCAGCACTCGGTATGTCTACAATAATAACTTGAGGCGATTAATCGTAACACAGCACGTGTAATAATAAATACGCTTCCGAATGTCCGAGGTTTTCGATCACACAGAACGTGCGGTAAAAAGAAACTCCTTTTTTTTCCTACCTATGCTGATAGCCTTGAGAGGCTATTTCTACTTCACCCTAAAGTGTAGGTGAACTTACGGGGCTCAAACCAGACGACGTTGCTAACACGAATCCTAGCAAGAGCAGTGCTTCGCAGAATCTACCACCGGATCGGAAACGCGACCCACTGAGAAGATCCGGCGAGAAACTCAGTGGGCTGTGTCTATGGGTTAATTCGCTCGTCGAGCCCTTCGTCGCAAGCGACGGGTTCGACGAGGACGGTTACCGGTAGAAACTCCGTCGGTGGTTCGCAGCCCTAATATATTAAGCGAGAGAACCGGAAATCTCTAGTAAATCAAACAGCGTATTTCTCGAACACAATACGTGTGTTCAGCACTAAATTGCTCACTGAATCGATCGCAAATCGCCACGATTCCGCGAAGATGACAATAAAATCGCCCTCAACGAGACTTGTCCTTTAGAATTTTCCCATCGCATTGAGCAGCCTCGAATTTTATGAGGGGCACAAATCATTTCGCGACGTGTGTGGATAGTCAAACTCTCATGCATAGTAAGTACACACGTGGCGTCCGAAGAAATTTNGCACTAAATCGCTCACTGAATCGATCGCAAATCGCCACGATTCCGCGAAGATGACAATAAAATCGCCCTCAACGAGACTTGTCCTTTAGAATTTTCCCATCGCATTGAGCAGCCTCGAATTTTATGAGGGGCACAAATCATTTCGCGACGTGTGTGGATAGTCAAACTCTCATGCATAGTAAGTACACACGTGGCGTCCGAAGAAATTTATCGTACACACAAAGAACACAGAGCGCGCGGGATTTATTGAAGCGTAGCTAAAAAAATACCGGTTGTATTTTGAAGAAAAAAATGTAATAACCTACGTTAGTAGTAACTCAACATTTTATATTAATATTATTATCCTTTAGAAAAAAAAAAATGGATAATCTTTACGTGTTTGTTTTATTTTTTAAGCTATTGCATGGCATCGCGGGCCTTGACCGCGGCGACTGAATTAAGAAATTCCGTAACGAAAATAACCTGACACCCCCACTACGCCTACTATGTAGCTCGCGTTTAACACATTCACACGTTGCGCTTGTGTAGTGTTTTTTTATATATTTTTTTATTGCCTTTGTAGGCAGACGGGCATACGGCCCACCTGATGGTGAGTGGTTACCGTCGCCCATGGACTTCAGCAATGCCAGGGGCAGAGCCAAGCCGCTGCCTACCGAGAATTTGTGTTTGTGAATAAGCGCGCGGCGTGACGTGGCACTGCCGCATTCACATCATGAAAAGTCTGCCCATCTCTCCCTCGCGCGGTCTAGGTTATGAGTGTGAAGGTTAATGTTTTGCTTTTGTTAATGTTTATAAATATAGCGTGGTCTCATTTTTATGTTGTTTTAATATTAAATTATTATTGTCAATTTATACTTGCATAAGTTGATAAAAAATGCTATGCAATAGCTTTACCGCGGCAGTCTCCAAGTGCCACACGTGTTTTTTATAAATGTATCTGCTGATGAACCCCTAAACGATTTTTTATTATTTTGTCGTGTGTTCTTGAATAGGTTATTGTCAGCTTCTCAAGGCTATCAGCTTAGGTAGGAAAAAAAAGGGAAGAAAAAAAGTATGACATAAATTTACAATAGTGCACTGTAGGTGGCGCTGTAATTGGCTTCATAATTGTTGTTTTTATTTCACGATCAACGATAAGCTAATAATCAATTTTATCTACGTTTCCTTGTCAAATGTCAAATGTCAACTCCACACTACTTAATTTTAAATTAAATAAGTTGGTGTTACATATAGGCACATATTATTTTCACCGATTTCGTCCTTTGAAAAAATGTTCTCAAAGCACACACACCCTACAGATCAAGAAAATCTATACAAACGATCGTTATTTAATTTTAAAACCGAAATTCGAATTTAAAAACTTACAAAATTACAAATGTTACAATACAAAAAAAAAACAAAATTAAAAATTCCAAAATCACCTCGTCCGAACAACACCGAAACCGGGGACTTTAAAACGAGCTACAAAATTTACGACTCGAATGAACCACAACGGGGTTCTGTTGTCACATAATTCAAATACAAAAATCTATATATTGTATAAAAAATGAATTGGTGTTCGTTAGTCTCGCTAAAACTTGAGAACGGCTTGACCGATTTGACTAATTTTGGTCTTGAATTATTTGTGGAAGTCCAGAGAATGTTTAAAAGGTAGATAAATATGAAAATGCTCGGAATTAAAGGAAAATAACAATTTTGTTTTTCCCCCGTCGGACGGATTCCTTTTGTTTGTTTTAAGTTTATTTTATACAAAAGTTTAGGTCTTTTATTTATCGATTGAGGCACTACGAAGTCTGCCGGGTCAGCTAGTCATAAATAAAACAGCCGAACATTAATCGGAAACAATTAATACTAAACACGCATTAACTGTGCGACGTGAGTTTGACAAACGGCTTTTTAGCCGAAGCTACTTCTCAATGACAAAACAACATGGTTTTATTCGCTTCACGCCGGTACAGGTGTTCTGTGAAGGTCAAACACGCCGTGATAGATGTGAAATCGATGACCCCTGTACGCTTCTTCTGCTCAGTGAATATGAAGTAAGGTTTTTTTCCGATATTTACAAACGAATTTTACTTAAAAGGGCGCCATTTCAATGTATTTATAATGTAATACTGATTCGGTGATGCAGTAATTAGCGTCTCTCAGTTGCGCTGAGGGTCGTGGATTTGATTCCCACTCCAGCTCTTTGTTTGAGTGCTTATTATCTATATATACAAATGCCTTTTTTTACTATTGCTACAATAGATGAACGATCTCACGGTCAATGTAAGTACATATGTACATCAATCTCTGCTTCCCATAGGTAATATGGGGAATCCTAGTTTAGATGATAATCCGGATGACCGTTCCCTGCTATTTTATTTGTTAAAGCAGAAGCAGGTGAAATAAATACTTTTAAATGTTTTCGTAATGATAATAGCAGATAGAAATTAAATAAGTTTTTAAATAGTACAATTCGAAAGAAAAAAAGACAGCGGTAGCCCGATTTATATGTTGGGTAGTTGAGTTTGTTAAATAAGTTACACAACGCATAAATATAATTTTCTTCATTTCAAAATCTCGTATTGCGTGATAATATTGTCTAACGTGTAGATAATTCATACACGGAGGCCATTCCGAGCAGCGTGAGGCCCGATAACCGCCACTTAACTGATTCCAATACTACTTACTACCTAGTTAGGGTGCTTAGTAATTTGGTAATTTGACGTAAAATGTTGTCAGAT